AATTCATATGCTGTACTTATAACCTCAGCTATCTCAGAATGTGACCATATTTGGAGACAGGATCTTAAAAGAGATAATTGAGTTAAAATGAGGTCATTAGGGTGGGTCCTAATCCAATATGACTGGTATCCTTATAAGAAGAAGAAATTAGGACACAGACACACACAGAGGGAAGACATAGGGAAAAGAGGGCCACATAGAAGCCAAGGAAAGAGGCCTGAGAAGAAACCAACTCTGCCACCACCTTGATCTTGAACTTCCAGCCTCCAGAATTGTAGGAAAATAAATTCCTGTTGTTTGAGTCACACAGTCGATGGTACTTTGCTATGGCAGCCCTAGCGAATTAATACAGCTGCCTATTCTTTCTCACTAATGTAGACAAACTACTTGAAACACTTCCCTTTGTGTTCTGCTATTTAAAAGATATCTAGGGGTGCCTGGGTGGCTCAGTCATTGGGCATCTGCCTTTGGCTCAGGTCATGATCCCAGGGTCCTGGGATCGAGCCCCGCATCAGGCTCCCTTCTCCCTCCCTTCTCCATAGGAAGCCTGCTTCTCCTCTCCCACTCCCCCTGCTTGTGTTCCCTCTCTCACTGTGCCTCTCTCTGTCAAATAAATAAATAAAATCTTAAATAAATAAAATAAATAAATAAAAGATATCTAATTTAAGGTCTCAAACATTCTTTGTTAAGATAAAATATTCTTTACTCCTTTTTAATAATTAGCATATTGTATCAACATATAAAATAGTTCACTCTTTGGGGGTGCCTGGGTGGCTCAGTTGGTTGAACGTCAGACTCGGTTTTGGCTCAGGTCATGATCTCAGGGTCGTGAGATCTTTCTGGGGTTCCATGCTCAGTGGGGAGTCTGCTTCCCTTCTCCCTCTCTTCTGCCCCTCCTCCTGCTCATGCACTCTATCTCTCTCTCAAATAAATAAATCTTTAAAAAAAATAGCTTCCTCTTTGGATTGCCTAAACATATGTATTTACCAACACTATAACCAACCACAATATCAATAACAGAAAACTAAAGAATCTTAGCTGTCTTTTGTATGTACTCAAAAAAGCCCACACTGACCAAATACACTAATTGCTTTACCTGGATCTGGTGCGCTCAAGCCCAACGTGGAGAATGGCATTTTGTGAACGGACATCGCACAATCATGTCAGCTGAAATAAAATCTTTGTACTCACTCAAAAACTGGATGTTATAGCTTAAAAATGCCCAATTTCATCCAGATCTGCTACAGTTGGGGAAATACAAAAAGCTGCCTATAGGTAACAGAGCTGAGTTGCAGTTTCCGTCCTGACTGTTGTCAGGTGGTTTTTCTCTGTCCAATCCTCTGATTCTTTGCAGACCCTCTTCCCCTGCCTGCCCGCTATATGCTAGAATGCCTCAGAGCTTGGTCCAGGGCCTTGTCCTGTCACTCTACATACTCTCTCTAGATTATCTCATACAATTCTATAGTTTTAAATTTCATTTAAAGTCAGCAGCTCTCAGATTTATTTCTCGGCTCAGAAACTGTCTTTTGACCTCCAGATCTGTATATCCAACTGCCTGAGATCTGTCTCAGACATATCTCTGATACTCAACTTGTGATCTAGCCTTGCCCTAATTTACTCCTCTATAATCATTCCTGTCTTGGAAAATGACACTTCATTCACCCAATAATTCATGGCCGAACTCTGGAAGCCCTTCCTGACACCACTTTTTCAATGACCCATATATCCAATGCATTATCAAGACCTAGTGATTAAGATTTATTTATTGCTTGATTGATTGTAGTGGAGGTGGAGAGAAATGGAGATACAGTATATATCTCTCTACCCCTCCACTACCTTAAAGCTATTCCTAGATATTTATCATGTGTCACCTGGACAGTCACCAGGACTAGTTTCCCAAGTGGCCTGCCCACATCCTCTCAAATACTCTCTAATCCATTCTCTACAATGTAGCCAGAACAATCTTTTAAAACCACAGAACCAATTCTCTCTCTCTTTCACACACACATACTGATTGAAACATATAAACATCATTTCAAACTTTTCAGTTACATTGCACCTAAAATAAAATCCAAATTCCTTAACATATCCTATGTTAAAAGAAGTCTCAGAGACAAAAGCATTTAGAAAAAAAGTTTTCATAGAAAAACACTTGCAAAAGTTTACAAGTGAGTTCAACTTTAGAAGGACTGGTTCAGAAAACACACACACCCCAAGGTTATATGGTTCATGATGGAAAAAATAACTTTCTCACATAATTGCCATACTCCCCCAAATTATTGCGTATCACCAGACTTATAAAAGACAAAAGTCAGCATTATAAAAGCCAGTGATTAAATTGTTTTTGTTAAGGAATCAGAAACATGTGAGAAAGGCTAAAAGTTTCATTCATTTTGGAAACTATGGATAGTATGACACCGTTCTTTTTTGGCTTATCTCGGAGCACAAAGTGTTTTGTTTTTCCTAACTGTGGTATGTGACATTTATACTTATTCATATTGGAAGCAGGACAAGGTGCCGATTTTGCTTTACAAAGATAAATCTGGGCATGATCTGGCTCCTTCTTATGTCTTCATCCTCCACTTGCTCTACTCTCCCCCTCATCTCTATGTTCCAGCCATGTGGCCTTCTTTCAGGTTCACAAGCTCTTCCCTAGCACAGTATTCCCTTTCTCTGGTACACACTCCCCTATAACCTTTACCCAGCCAAATTTTACTCACCATCCCATTTGCAACTTAAATGTTACTTCCTCCAAATCCCAGTCTAAATCAATACCCCTATTATTCAATCAGTCATAGTGTCTGTATTATAAGTTAGGATGCCTTTGGTTGTCAGTAACTCAAAAACTAATTCAAATGTATTGCTAGTGTCTTTGAGGCCAGGGAGGTTTGAGCATAGAGAAGAACACTCACCACTATGTATACTTTTGTTTAAAGTTCACTATATAAACCTTCCTGGAAATACTTTGCTGTGCTGTCCAAAACAGTATCCACTAACCACACGTTGCTATTGACACTTGAAATACAGCTAATGCAAGTGAGGAATTAAATTTTTAATTTTATTTTTAATTAAAATTTAAAGCTGATAATTTCTTCAGTGACTGGAAATTTTTAAGTGCATTTGGAAAAACTCAAGTATGTGAATCTATCTTTTCAACTGAAAATTTTATGAAATCTAATACAGTTCCAGTATTTCCAATTGAAATTAAGCCATTAAGAATTAAGTATAGGGCGCCTGAGTGGCTCAGTCATTGAGCGCCTGCCTTTGCTCAGGTCATGATCCCAGGGTCTTGCGATCGAGTCCCACCATCAGGCTCCCTGCTCGGCGGGAAGCCTGCTTCTCCCTCTCCCACTCCCCCTGCTTGTGTTCCTGCTCTCACTTTCCCTGTCTCTGTCAAATAAATAAATAAAATCTTAAAAAAAAAAAAAGAACAAAACATATAGATGGAACTAGAGGGTATTATGCTAAGATTTCTCAATCAGGGAAAGAAATTATCATATGATCTCACTGATATGTTGAATTTAAGAAACAAAACAGAGGAGCATAAGGGAAGAGAGGAAAAAAATAAAACAAGATGAAACCAGAGAGGGAGACAAACCATAAGAGACTCTTAATCATAGGAAACAAACTGAGGGTTGCTGGAGGGGGGTGGGTGGGTGGAGGGATGGGGTAACTGGGTGATGGACATTAAGGAGGGCATGTGATGTAATGAGCACTGGGTATTATATAAGACTGATAAATCACTGACCTCTACCTCTGAAAACAATAATACATTATATGTTAATTGAATTTAAATTTAAAAAATAAAATTTAAAAAAGAATAAAGTATATAAGTGTAAAGTACATACTGGATTTCCAAGACTTGTATGAAAAAATATAAAGTATCTGTTTTTATATTGATTACAGGTTGAAATTATATTTTGGATATATTGGGTTAAATAAAATATATTAGTAAAATTAATTTCATCTATTTGTTTTTGCTTTTTTTATGTGGCTAATAGAAAACTTTAAATTACCTAGCTTATTTTAAATTACATGGCTAATTACAGGGTTAACATTATGTTGGACAGCACAGCTCCGAATAGTTACTCAACTAATCAAAAGCATAAATTTAACAAAGTTTCCACGTAAAGGCTTACAAAGTGTCCAGTTAAAGTTTTTGAGGGAGTTGGGAGGAAATACAAACATCAAATTGGTATTTTTAAAAAATAAATGTGTAAAATGCTGAAGCTGGATGGGAATTTAGGGCGAGTGACTGGAGTGTTGGGTAAAAGGGGAGGCTACTGCAGTAAGCCAGGCAGAAAAGAATATTGGTTTGGGCTAGAATGGAGGTGGTGAGATGAAGAGAAGATACATCTGAGAGACACTTAGGAGATAAAACTGACAAAGTTTAAAAATTTATTTAATCAGATTATCTGACTGAATCAAAACACTGATTACAGTTTAATCATGTTCTACAATGAAAACAGTAGTTAAAATGTATTTAATCAAATTATATAATTTAATCAAAACACTGATTACAGGTTTAATCAAATTCTTCAACAATTTTATTAAAATCACAAATCTAGCAGATTCTCATATCCTTCTAAGAACCGAACACACACACACACACACACACACACACACCAGGAACTATAGCAAGGTTACAAATATAGCAGATTCTCATATCCTTCTAAGAACCGAAAATACACACACAATTTATTGTAACCTTATATTTAAACTGATCACAAAGGTAGCACAGGTATGACTTGCACCTCACATCTGCTAAACGAAGAGCCCTTGTTTGCGCTGAGGAATAAATGATTGAATTATTCACGGCAATCTTGTGCAGAAAAGATACGCCAAGTCCGGGGCGCGGAGGCGGAGTCCGGGGCGCGGAGGCGGAGTCCGGCTCGGACACTACTGCCAGAATTGGCCGGAGGTCCCACGTCAGTCCGTGGCCAGGCCCGGAACCCGCGCCTCATTCGTCGCCCCGCCCACCGCGGGGCCGGGCGGCTACGCCTTCAGCGTTTTCGTTCAGGCTGCGCCAGTGCGGGCCTGATTCAGAAGCCGCAGACCCACCGAGGGGCTGACACGCTAACGAAAACCTCGACACCGTGGTTCCACAGTCGAGGAAACGCCAGAACCCCAGGCTGCGCCTGCCGTCTGAGAGGCCCTCCAGCCGGGAATACTTCCGGGTCAGGGGGCGGGGCTGCCGGAAGTGGCCGGACGCCGTCTGCTGTTCGTTGTTTAAGCGGCTGACGGGAAGGAGAAGCCCAAGCTCCGGCGGCGCCGCGGAGCGGCAGTCACGACCTGAGCCCGGGACGCCGCTAACCTCTGGACCAGCCAGAAGCCAGGAGTACCGGCTGCGGAGCGGAAGGGCGAGACGCCCGCTCGCCTTCTGATCTCATCATGTCGCGGGGCTCCATCGAGATTCCCCTCCGGGACACTGACGAGGTAAGTGTCGAGTATGGGGGAGGGTGGGAACCTTGAACTTGGATGATCCCTTCTTTCCCCCTTCTTTCGACTTCGCCTCTGAAGCGGAAGCACCTTCTCCCCCAGGAGCCCAGGTCGAAATCCCCGACCGACGCCCCAGTCACCTCCTTCCCCAGCCCCTGCACCTTTCCAGGCTGGCACCATCACGTTCCCGCAGCCTCGGGGCCACGCCGAGGAGTTCTTGAAAGTTCCTTTCCTACCTGTTCGTATGTGACAGTACTCTGCTCTCTTCCTAATTGTCGGGCGCAGGGGTGCGAGAGTGCGGATTTGTAAGGCGCCTCACAGATAAAAGAGGTGGGCGCTGATGTCACGGTGGTCTCTGCTGCTCAAACTGTCTCTCCCTGAGAATACATAGGATGTCGCCCTTTATCCCTGAGAAACTCGAGTCTGTCATGGTGCGGTGTCCCCCACACACGGCTCCATTGGCGAAATAGAGACCCCGAGATATAGCCGCCACGGTGTGCTGATAGAACGAGCCCTCTCTCCCTTCCCCAGCCTCATCATGGGTAGCCTTGGCTTGTCTGAGTAAAGCCCTCAGCATTGATGTTGTCTATATCCAGTATAATTTCATACTCTCATTTTTGTTCGATTGAGATATAATATTGAGATATAATTGACTCAGCATAAAATCCAGTGATTTTCAGTAGTATTGTTGTAAAGTTGTGTAAACCATCACCACCATCTAATTCCAGAACATTTGCCTACTGTTAAATTTTGTGCCCACATTCAGGAGTGTCTGTGACACACAAATGCTGTCTCCCTGATGAATGTACAGTGGCATTCAGGTTCACATAGCCTCTAGGATTGTGCTTCTCAAGTTGTCAGGCCTGTGGCATCAGAGTCTCTGGGGTGCTTATCCGCACTTCACCTGGATTATATGTTAGGCAGGGTTTTGTTTTGTTCTTTTTGAGTAAGCAAAGCTTTTGTAACATTTTATAGTTCTGGTGATTTGAAGACAACTAGCAGTATTTGTTTGCTTCTCTATGCTTTTACCTTAATATTCTCATATGACCTATTTTGACATGTGTGCCTTAAACATGTCTTAACATATACTTGCTCAGCCCTATTGCAAGTGAACATAAACCCTATGTATATCCATATTGATGTATATTCTGAAAAGCAGCAAAGAAGAAATGTGAATTTAAAGGAGAAATAAGAGTCAAAACCGCATTTTGTGTTTTAGGTCATTGAACTTGACTTCGATCAGTTACCGGAGGGAGATGAAGTTATCAGTATTCTGAAACAGGAACACACACAACTGCACATATGGATTGCTTTGGCGGTCAGTGTTCATGTAACAAATATTTTTTATATGTTGACTGGGAAAAATATTTGGTTTCTGTTTTCAGATATAGTAATAGCCAGCTTGGGAGCAGGATAAGTAAATTGTACCATATGTATGGAAGTTAATTGTATTACCATTTATAGAACAAGAAGGCCAGTTTCCTAAATACTACTCCACTGGTAAATTAATATATGTTGGTAAAGGCAAAATTCATTTAAGTTAAATAGTAGTCTGTACTGTGTATTTGATTATTAATCACTCAGTGAAGACTGGTTTGTGCTTTGTAGGTAATCTGAGAAAAAACAAGGTGCCACCATGTAAACATTGTTACTTAGCATTGTTTTCCATAACAATAAAACATTTTCCATAAAATAGTCTAGAAGGTGATTATATTCCAGGCTAACTAACAAAAGCCCTTTTGGATGAAGTTTATCTCAGGCTTGTTATTTGTCCTGTTTGGTCCCTTCCATAACATAAACCCTACTGGAGATTCTCAGGAGAGTCACCTCAGCCTAAAATTCTAACACCCTTCACTCTCCCCAGCACCAACTGCCTAATGTTTCCTTTTTATGAGAACATCATAATAAATTATTCTGGTAATATAATCTAGCATATACTAAAATCATGTTTTTTTTAAGCAAGTGTGCCCCAGGTCACTTTTGTGTAAAGATACATAGGAGGCTCCTCCTATTATCTTGAAAGGAGAAGTCGATCTGCAGTTGGGCTTATATCCAGTGCTCAAGCCTAACTGTAAAGAATTTCTTAGATAAGGATTTACAGAGAAATACTTTTAGTGACAGTAGTGCCTTTCTGAAGTGTTAAGTTTTCCTGGTCTATGGAGAACAAGCCATTAATGTTGTCACACAGTTTTTAAAGCCAGAGGGGGAATTTAGATTTACTTTAGTACAAATGCCTCCTTTAACAGCACTTACAGAAAAAATGGAGGATTGAAAGATTAGTGTGGCACCTGTGGTAAAATTGATGAAACATTGTGGGCTGTAGAGTGTTACAGAGAAAAGAGTGTAGGCTTTGGGATTAGAGAAGCCTTTGTTCAAATTCCCACTTGGCTGCTAACTAGCTGTGTGACCTTAGACAAATGATTACCTTCTGAGCCTGTTTTCTCATCTAAAATGTGGGAATGTTAGCATTCATTTTAAGGGTGATTGTACAGATTCGAAATAAGTATATAAAGTTCCTGGCATAATCTGTGGCCCACAGTAGGTGGATAAAAAATGGCAGATCTTCCTTTTAGTATTAATAAATGAAACAGATGCCCAGGGAAGTTATTTAGCAGGCCCAAAGTCATGGATAATTTTGATAGATCTAGAACCAGAACCTAAGTTTTCTGTTTAGAATTCTACATCCGCGTCATTATTGCTTTTTCTCTTGGGCTCTGATTTAGTTTGAAATCAACTATTGCTAGGTAAGTAGTAATTTGGAAACATTTATGGTGATTATCACTTTTTTAACAACTTTATTAGGTATAATTCACCTACAGTAAGCTGCACATACTTGACATATACCATTTGAGAAGTTTTAGCATATTTCACACCTGTGAAATCATCACTACAATCAATATAATGAATATATCCATCACCCCCCAAACCTTCCTCCAAACTCTTCCCAACACCCCACAGTGGTCAGCCAAACCTTGATCTGCTTTTTGTTTCTAAAGAGTGCATGTTCCAGAGTTCTTACACAAATGGAATCATTACAGTATGTACTCTTTTTGGTCTGGCTTCTCTCACTCAGCATAATTATCTTGAGACTTACCCACATTGTAGCATGTATCAGTGGTTCTTTTTTCTGCTGAGCAGCAGCCATTGTACAGATAAACCACAGCTTGTTTGTCCATTCACCTGTTGATCAACAATTGAGTTGTTTCCAGTTTTTGGCTATTACAAATAGAGCTGCTATAAATGTTTATGTGCAGCTTTTTGTATGGACATACGCTTTAATAATTCTAATTTGATTCTTTATCTTTTAGCTGGAATATTACAAGCAAGGAAAAACAGAAGAGTTTGTAAAGTTGTTGGAAGCAGCACGTATAGATGGCAATTTGGACTATAGAGACCATGAAAAAGACCAGATGACTTGCCTGGATACATTGGCGGCCTATTATGTACAACAGGCTCGGAAGGAAAAGAATAAGGACAATAAGAAAGATCTTATTACACAGGCAACCCTGTTGTATACCATGGCTGATAAAATTATTATGTATGATCAGGTAAATAAGTCCGATTTCTTTGAATTTATGAAAGGGGAAAAAATACCACATGAGAGTAAACTGTGTGTGTGATAGGCAACAGATTTTTTTTTTTTTGGGGAAGAATTTTTCTTAAAATAACATGGTTGATGATAAAAATATCAAAAGAAGAAGAATTCCCTGTTAAAATTGGAATTTCTTTGGTTGTTGTACTGTTGAAGTAATGTGGGCAAATTTAGCATATATAAAACTTATCCATGGGGCACCTGGGTGGCTCGGTCGGTTAGGTGTGTGCCTTCAGCTTGGGTCGTGATCTCAGGGTCCTCGGATTAAGCCCCACATTGGGCTCTCTGCTTGGTGGGGAGTCCACTTCTCCCTCTCACTCTCCCTCTGTGCTTTCGCTCGCTCTCTCAAATGAATAAATAAAATCTTTAAAATAAATAAATAAATAAAACTTATCCACAGGTTGAGTCAGTAATTCCATCATCTCCAGGTGAATTTCAAGTATATTTTTAAAAATTTTTTATTTAAATTCAATTTAATTAACATGTACTGAATTACTAGTTTCAGAGGTAGAATTTAGTGTTTCATCAGTTGCATATAACACCCAGTGCTCATTACTTCAAGTGCCCTACTTAATGCCCATCACCCAATTACCCCATTCCCCTCACCCACTTCCCCTCCAGCAACCTTCAGTTTATTTCCTATAGTTAAGAGTCTCTATGATTTGCCTCCCTCTCTGTTTTCATCTTACTTTATTTTTCCTTTCCTTCCCCTATGTTCATCTGTTTTGTTTCTTAAGTTCCACATATGAGTAAAATCATAGGGTATTTGTCTTTCTCATTTCACTTAGCATGATACACTCTAGTTCCATCATGTTGTTGCAGATGGAAAGATTTCATTCTTTTTGGTGGCTGAGTAATATTCTATTGTGTGTATATAGACATATATACATATGTGTCTATATACACACTACATCTTTATTCATTCATTTGTAGAGGAACATCTGGGTTCTTTCCATATTCTGGCTGTTGTGGAAGAATGAACTTTTCTTTTTGTCATTGTTCCTGGCACAGAAGACTTGCATTTCTGGATAATTTCTTGATTTGTAATTAAGAATTGCCCATTGGTAGTTTAAACACATTATAGTTGATAGAGGAATTGGTGTGATACTCCACCTCCTTCCTATATGGTTTTCATTTTAGTGTTACTATGTTAAATTGTGGTTGCTCCTTGGTAAAGTCAAGTCTAAGATGATATATTGCTTTTTCAGAATCATTTGTTGGGAAGAGCCTGCTTCTGTCTACTTGAAGGTGACAAAATGGATCAGGCTGATGCACAGTTTCATTTTGTACTCAACCAATCTCCAAATAATATTCCAGCCCTTCTTGGTAAGTCATTTTTGGCAACCATCTTAGGGAACTGTATCTTTCATCATATGCCTGTAATATATTTCTTTGACTGGGCTGGAGAGCAACGTAGAAGAGCTTTACTTTATAAAAATGAAACTATCTGCAATAGATCATTGTTTCTTTTGAAGTTACAATCACAGACCTGTACCCCTGAAACAAATAATACATTATATGTTAATTAATTGAATTTAAATTTTAAAAAAGGAAAGAACTCCCTTTACCATTAAAGTCACTTCAAAATATTATATGTATAATATACCAGTTAAGAATAATTTGTTATCCACTTCTAAAGAGTCAATAAGCAATGTCTATTTGGACAACTATAAGCTATTTTAATTGTTTTATACCATTTAACAGGACTGTTTTATTTATGGGCATAAATTAATATATCCTTATGGAAAACAAGTTTAAATATGAAATCATTTTCACCATTTTCAAGTATTTCTTACTCAGATGTGTTTGATTTAGGTGAGTTCATGTAGGATATATGAGACTTGTGTTCTTTAGTCAATGCATGTTTATTTTTAAAAATTATTATAGGTAAAGCTTGCATTTCATTCAACAAGAAGGATTACAGAGGAGCTCTTGCTTACTATAAGAAAGCATTGCGTACTAACCCAGGATGTCCAGGTAAGAGAAAAACTTTATTTGAAGTCTAAGCTCTATATGATCCACCTGTGAAAATATTGAGGATTTGGCAATTGCCTATGAAGTTAGTTGTGAAAAGATGCTATAGGGTTGTTAAAATGACAGAATTGAAATTAAAAAAAAATACCATGTTTGATCCAAAAGCTGAATAGCAGATCTTATTTTTTTTTAAGATTTATTTATCTTAGAGATAGAGAGAAAACATGCATGAGTGGGGGGTGGGAGGCAGAGGGAGAGAATCTTTAAGCAGACACACTGCTGAGCATGGAGCCTGATGCAGGGCTCGATCTCATGACCCATGAGATCATGACCTGAGCTGAAACCCAAGATTCAGAAGCTTAACCATCTGAGGCATCCAGGCATCCCTAGCAGATCATATTATAATCTTTTTGCTTTATACTACTTTTCTATTGAAAATCTCAGTCATTTAGGAAATCTTATTGAGAATCAACTATTTGCCAGGCATTGTTCTAGACCGAAGGAAAGAAGCAGTAAACCAAAGAGACAAAAATCCCTGCCTTGGGGTGCCTGGGTGGCTCAGTGGATTGAGCGTCAGACTCTTGGTTTCAGCTTAGGTCATGATCTTGGGGTCATGGGATTGAGCCCCATGTTGGGCTCCATGCTCAGTGGGGAGTCTG